ACATTGATGACTGAGATACTTAAGGAGTTCATAGCCTCGTAAGAGAGAAACATAATAGCGGGTCTCAAACATTTTGGCCTTGGGACCTTTACACTCTTAAAAATTACCCGGGACTCTAAAGAGCTTTTGTTTATGTGGGTTACAGCTAGCAATATTTACTATAGTAGAAAGTAAAAGAAAATTTTAAACCAAGAATACGCAAACATTCCATTGGCCGCCAGAGTGATAACCTCATTTATCAGATAGCCTCTGGAAAACTCCACTGTACACTTGGGAGAGACCGAGAGTGAAAAAGATAAATAACATCTTGGTTTTGAACTCACGGAATCCCTGAAAGGGTCTCGGAAGTACTTTTCCCCACACCCTTAAACTGGGCCACACTATGAGAATGGATTATGTAAATAATTAAGATAAAGTTTGATGTATTCTTAATAGTGATTGATTATCGTGGCACTATTGAGAAGGAAGCGGCTAACACTCCCTGAAGTGGTCAGGAAGGCTTTATTCATTCAGAAATTCTCATTGAAACCTGTGCTCTGCTAGATGCCTCTCAGAGGAGGTCACGTACAGACCGGTCATGAAGGATCAATAGGAATATGCCAAGAGAACTTTCCAGGCTGAGGAGTAATAACTGTAAAGGCACCAGCGATAGCAAGTTGTTTAGGATGACAGGAGTGTAAGATACAAGGGTAGAAGTCAGGGTCAGTGAGGTGCAGAGGCCAGAGGTCAACTTGACTGGAATGCTTGTTTTCACTTCCAAGGTCTTTATTCTTTGGACAGTGTTAGGTAAAACGATAATTCCTCTTCTGTGGGCTCCACGAAGCTAACAAATTCTTCCCGTGGGTACATGAGGTGGACTGGGTGTCTCCCCTCATTAGAATTGTGTGTTTGGGGATGTGATAGGTTTTATCCCTGCAGCAGATGGTGTTTCCTTTGTATGTGACGGGCTGGCAGGTATCAGCATATTCTTTTACTAACATTTATTGAGTACTCTTTGGTGAAATATAATAAAGTTTTGGTAACATAAGAAATGGTTGACAGTCTTCACTCTCCCGTCTTTCCATTCTGGTCAGATTACAACATTGAGTAGCCTGAGAGAGCATCTTGCTCTGGAGGCATGTTCATTGTTGATGGTGTGGTATTGTGGCACTCTGGAACCTCCGGGTCCTTGGGGATAAATTAGCTGGTATCCTCCGAGTCTAATGTTTCCGTTAGTTTAGTCAGTTTAGCAGAGATTAATTAGGGAGCTATTTATGGGGTTTTGTAATGCATCATGGGCCACCTTCAGATTTGTTATGTTGTTTGAAGGTGGACCCACATAAATTGGATTCAATTTCAAAACAAGAGAGACATTTTAACTTAGATGTTGTCCTGAAAAACATCATTGGCTAAAGGGTGAAAAGAACCTCTAATTGGATTAGGCAGTACAAACAACATTAGGATCTCTCTGAGCTATATCCAGTTACATCTTACTAAACGTAGCCTAAATTACATAACTAACTAGTAGTGTTCTAAAATTAAAACATTGAAGAATCACCAATTTAAGCCATTTATCTCTGTCCCAAAACAAGTTGTTTTATTTTTTATTTTGTTTTTAGAACTGTAGGATCTTGGTGATGGGCATTTACACGCCATCTTGCCTGTCTATTAGTTACCTGCATCGCCGGTGCAGCAGCCTCAGCTTTTGTTTCGGGCACAGTGGTTGTCAGCCCTGGTGGCACAATAGAATCACCTGGGGAACTTTGGAAAAAATAAGTGTCTGGACTCTCCCCTAGATCAGCAGCACCAGAATCTCAGGCAGTGCAGCCTGGTTACTGACGATTTTTTAAAAGGTCCACAGGTGATTCTTGCGTGCAGTCATAATTAAAAGCCACTTATTGATTAGAGTCTAGATCAGCCGTGGACAAACTACGGCCCGCGGGCCGGATCCGGCCCGTTTGAAATGAATAAAACTATTGAAAAAAAAGACCGTACCCTTTTATGTAATGATGTTTACTTTGAATTTATATTAGTTCACACAAACACTCCATCCATGCTTTTGTTCCGGCCCTCCGGTCCAGTTTAAGAACCCATTGTGGCCCTCGAGTCAAAAAGTTTGCCCACCCCTGGTCTAGAACTTAGACCAGCCTTCTTTAGCCTAAACATTAGTCATTGTGTATGTTCTTCTTCTTATGGATTTTAAAACCACATCATTTTATCTGAACATGTCTCTTAAAATGCAGTAACTAGAATGGTACCCAATATTCTAGCTGATCTCAAAGAATGGAACCTGTCCCCCTCCTTTTTCTGCACATGGGCTAGTATTACTGCAGCCTAGGAGCCCATTAATTTTTTTGATGTCTGTCTTACAATATGGCCCATGCTAAATTATCAAGCCCTTAAAACCCTTACTACTTTGTGTACTTGGTTGTTTTGTGAACTCAAATACAAGACCTATATGTATATGTATATATATATGTAGATGTAGATGTAGATGTAGATGTAGATGTAGATGTATATATTCCTGTAGCACAGTCGTTCTTAAGTGGGGATGATTTTGGTCCCCGGGCGAACGTTTGGCAATGTCTGGAGACATTTTTGTTTGTCGCAACTGGCAGGGAGGAAGGTGATGGTGGTGGTGCTACTGGTTGGTAGAGGCCAAGGATACTCCTAATAAACATTCTGCAGTTAACAGGACAGCCCCCACAGCAAAGAATTATCCCCAAATGTCAATAGTGTGGGGTTTAGAAGCCTGCTGTGGTGTGTGGGTGAGGGTGTGGACTCAGGAAACGGTGGGATCTTCCGAGAGGTCCTTTGAGCAAGGACACTTTGTTCTCAGCGTGCTCTCTCTCCGGGCTCCCTAAGGGAACTCAGTTGCCTGTAGTGATTGTTCACATTTCCTGTGTCCTCACCTTGCAGCTGTCAGAAAAGGAAGTGATTTGTCTATCTTGATTTTTCATTTTGACTGTCTTGAGTGATCTCAGGAAAGTTTGGTAAATATAGAAAAGTATATTAAAATAATATATAATTTAACATTTATTTACAATTCTATTACCTAGGGGTAACTACAGCTGACATTTTGGTGGCTGGGTTTGAATTCTGATCCACTACATACCAGTTATGTGACCTTGAGTGGGTTACCCTAGGGCAGCGGTTCTCAACCTGTGGGTCGCGACCCCTTGGGGGGTCGAACGACCCTTTCACAGGGATTGCCTAAGACCATTGGAAAACACATATATAATTACATATTGTTTTTGTAATTAATCACTATGCTTTAATTATGTTCAATTTGTAACAATGAAAATACATCCTGCATATCAGATATTTACATTACGATTCATAACAGTAGCAACGGAAATTACATAAATTACAGTTATGAAGTAGCAACGGAAATAATTTATGGTTGGGGGTCACCACAATATGAGGAACTGTATTAAAGGGTCGTGGCATTAGGAAGGTTGAGAACCACTGCCCTAGGGGGATAGTACCTAGCTCAGTGCTGTGATCAATACCTGTAAAGTGTTTTCAGCAGTGCCTGGCACATTGTAAGAGATGTTTAATTTTCTTTGCATACATTTGTGTGTAGTGTGCAGATGAACACATTTGAGCTCATGCAATGTAGTTTTATACCTACTTTTTTGGCTTTATATGGAGAACATGTGCCCATGTTACTAAAAGTACTTAGAAAGCATGTTACTTTTGTAAAACATTATGCATTTTGATATATTAAATATAAAAGAACTAAATACACAATTTTGGGCTAAGTGACACCTTTTAAGCTAGATTAAAGAATAGACCTAAAGGTTTAAGAAAAGTTTGAGAGAAAAGCCTAAAATTGAGAACGCTTTATTCATTAGCCTACTTCCCCCGCCCCCATGGTTGAACAAAGACTGCCATTGTTAGATTTCAGCAACAAGACACCTCATCTAGTATACAACTGCTGTATTCCAGTCTCTTCTAGAATCTTGCCTCAGATTGATGCAAAGCTTCTTGGTTTCTAGTTTATAGAATCTGTCATCTTTAAATATTTCCTCCCCCCCTTGCACAAAAAATAGTATGAATCCTTATACTTTTGAAGAGATGTCTGCCTCTGTATAACTTTCTATTGAAAGTTCATTTTTCTGAATTGAAAAACAAAAACTCCTTTCTCGTATGCATTTGCGTCTGAAAGTCCTTCTGGAAGTGGTAAGCTTATATTTTGTAATTAGAGTGTCATGGGTTTTCATTTGGAAGAGGAAACAGTTTGGTGTGAAACTGGGCAACTGTTTGGCTTCAGAATTTTTTATTTCCTTAGTTTTAAGGATACCAGATTGTGTTTGTTTCTGAGTATCTGGGCTCTGTGTTTGTGATATAGTTTGGAATTTTAGGAACCTTTGAGGGGTTTGAAAGTAATGATAAATCTTAAAGTTTATTGCCAGCATTTTAATTTTAGAGACAAAACGAAGTGAAAATTGTGTTTAAAGTTTCCATTTAGCAGGACTAACAGGAGCATTGCAGCTCCCTGGGTAGAAGTGAGCCCAGGAAGAGGGAAGTGTCATGGTGTAGTACGCCTATGCATTCATTGGCCAAGTACCTTTCATGGTTTCTCCACTGTGTTCTTTAGACTTAGGATGCTGAGTTCAGTTGTTTGTGTTGGGAGTTTGACAAATTACTACCTTTTGGGACTCTCTGTTAGGTGAATGACTAGTCAGCTGGGCAGCTATAGTGAAACTTGTTTCAGGAAAGAGGCAGTAGATACGCTTTATCATTTTGGAAGAGCATTTGGGAATCAGAGCCCTTGAGAAATGGCCTGTAGTGTCTGGACCCTGTCTTCAGGTGGTTAGTGTGTCACCAGCCTCACTTGTGGAAGCAGCTGAGGCCCAGGGATGTTTAATGACTTTCCTGAGTCGGCCAGCTGGTAACTAGGGAATAGAGTTCTTGTTTGTGCCTCTTATGGAGGTAATGTAGTTGGACATGTGCTCTAGTGCTCTCCCTCAGTATCTGGGAAGAATCATAGAGTGTCAGATTAAGGCCTTCTCTTGTCTCTGTGTGGAGGATTTCCATGGATGGCCTGGCATGAAGCATTGTTGTTTTTGATGAACTAAATTAATTTTTAAAAGGTTGTGACCAACATTTTTGTTTTGATAGTAATTGCCTGTTCAGAGCTCTTGGTGATCAGTTGGAGGGACACTCACGAAATCATCTCCAGCACCGACAAGAGACCGTAGACTACATGATCAAGCAGCGGGAAGATTTTGAACCCTTTGTAGAAGATGACATTCCCTTTGAGAAGCATGGTAGGTTCCCCGTGGGACACTGGATCCTCCAGAAATAATACATTGGTAACTAAATCCATCAGCATCCCACACCCTCCCAGCCAGGGATTTGGTTACATAAACTATGGCATGTATTCAACAAATATTATTTGTCTGCTCTGTGATAGGCAACATGCTAGGCAGTTGGGATTCAATAGGTTTAGATGAGTATGCCCTTAATAACAATGATGATTGATGTTCATTGACTTGAAAAGCTGTTCATAACTTCTTATTCAATTGGAGTGGTGGGGGAAGCAGGCTGTGAAATAGATTGGTCCTATTTTTAAAAGGTATACACACAGAAAAGCATACTAGAAAAATTCTAGAAAAATACTAACATTTTATGATTGTTTAATCTTGGCTCCACTTATTTTTTACTCCCTTTAAACTTCTGTAAAGGGGAGATGATAATAGCACCTATTATAGGCTTTTTTGATGAAGATTGAAGGATATAATTAAAATAAGTTCTTAACTGTTTGCCATCTGGGGATGATGGGTCTGTGCATATTTTAAAGTATCTTCTATAGATATTTCTGATTTTAAATGATCAATAAGAGCCCGGGTAGCTCAGTCGGTAGAGCATCAGACTTTTAAATGATCATGTATTTTTAACCAGAAAAATCAATAAAGTCATTTTAATTTCTCACTCAAACCCCAAACACAACCTGTTTTCTTTGAGGCAAATTATTTAGTGATTTTAATTAGTTCCTCATAGGCACAAATCTAGTGAGAAAGTACATATGAACTTTGAAACTTTAATTTGACAATTATTTACTGAGGATGTTCTGTGCTAGGTGCTGATATATTTATGTTTTACAATAACATTTTTATCACAGAGTTCAGTCTTACCTGTCTCTTATCAGGAAAGGGAGAGAATATTCCCCGTGTGTTAGAGAGCTAACTCTGGGAACCATGTCAAGAAAGAACGGGGAGAGAGACTGAGAAGGGAGATGAGCTAGGAGCTCTTTGCATTGGCCGGATGAAAGAGGAAGAGGGTCTCCACCAAGGCAGCTGCTGGGGATGATGAGCGGGGTCCAGGCCAAGATACAACTGGTAGTATAATTGACAGGACTCATTGGGGGTGGAGAGGGGAGGCAAAAGTGATTCTGAAGATTCTGTTGGGGAATGGCTAGGTAGCGGGCCATAGGAGGAAGTCATTGGGGGGGTGAGGGGGGAGCTATCAGTGATTCATTACTCAAAAGGGAAGAACTCATTCACTAGGCACAGCAACAAAACTCCCACTGAGTAGTTGATAGTATTCACTGAGTTAATGGTCCCTCTCTCTGATCACTTTTTGTCTAGCACATAGGTACAGTTTACCAGATGGTCAGCAGTTTACAAATTAAATGCGGGTATACGGGGCATGTTTTGTAGTTTAGCCAAATAAAATGGTGTCATTGGTCCAATTAAAATATTTTTGATGAAGTGAGTTTTTAGTTTGTGACTTGAAATTCCACTTTGAACATTTTGAATGAAGTGGTTGATTTGGAGGTGTGACAGGGTAAGGGACTTGTGTCCAGTGTGGTAGTCACTTTAGATGTACAATGGCCAGTTGTTTTCTTGAAATGTCACTGTGTGTTCCTGATCGCTGGTTGGTGCTTCATAAAGAATTTGAGCTTCAAAGCGAGGAGTGGCTCTGACTGCCCTGGCAGAAGTGGAAAGAAACCTAGATGTCTGCACATTATGTTTGTGTGCCAGGTGAAGACTAGGCTTATTACATTATCCCTCGTATCATAGTTACTCGTTTTTAACGTCTGTCTACCTTGTTTCACTGAGATTCTTGAGGGCAGGGACTGTATCTCTTCCCCAACCTGGTAATGGTAGGCACTCCTAAGATGTTTGTTGAATGAATAAATGAACGGCTCACTTAACTTTTCAGGGCCTGGTTACCCTGCATCTGGCTGTATCTTTTAGGATTATTCTTTTCTTTTAGACTGGCTTTGGAGAAGCAGCAACATGTTTTCTCCAATTGTACAAATATCTAGATCACAATCCTCAATGTTCTTAATGCTCCTCTCCGTCCCTCCTCGTACCCAGTCATTCATTAAGTCTTGTTACATCTACCTTGATATCTTTTCTCTCACTGCTACCATTTTGTAAAATCAGGCCTCTGTGGTCATTAGCCTAGATTTCTTCAATACTTTTTTAACTTGTCTCATTGCTACTTGACCCATTCAGTTTGGGTTTTTTTTTTGCAGCTGGAGTAGTGACCTAAAAATAAATCTTTCCCCTATCTACAACCCATTGGCTGCTCCCCATTGACCTCAGTCAGGATAAAGGCCAAACTCTTGAGCCCTTTGCTATCTGTGATTTTCTTATTTCTCTATTCTCACCTCCCACCCTGCTGTCTTAGCATTCTAAATTTCTGCAAAACTGTATAGTCCACAGACTCATGTATCTACCCCACTCATCTCTCCTCTCTCTCCTCTGCTTGGAACATCATTTCTCTTCTATCTCCTGTCATTTGGGAATTAGCTTAGTTGTCTAAGTCAAGAAGCTTATCTGATACACCTTACCACCCCCTCCCCACAACCAAACTGGCTTACGCTCTCGGACCTGGAGTTAGCCAAGCTGAAAGGTTTTAGGGCACAGTCTTTCCCAAGACTTCCCTCACTTCTGACACCAATTAAGTTTGGGGTTTCCTGAACCGCTCTCAGGCTCAATGATTTGCTATAAGGACTCACTGAACTCACTGAAGGCCCTTATACTCACAGGTATAGTTTATTATATGGCAAGGTTATAGGTCAAAATTAGCCAAAGGGCAGAGTGGGAAGGTTCCAAACACAAAGCTTTTCTTGTCCTCAGGATGCATCCTCCTCCTGGCATCCATGTGTGATAGAGTATTGTCAGCCACGAAGCTCACCTGAACTTTGGTGTCCAGAGTTTTTATTGGCGTTTCATGGTGTGGGTTTGATTGATTGCCTAGCTCCCCAGTTTCCAGATCTGGCTGACATCACATGGTCAGAGAGTCACCTCATTAACTTAAACTGTCAGGTGTGGCTGAGGAGCCCACTGTGAATAACAAAGACATTCCTATCACTTGGGAAATTTGAAGGGTTTAGAGCAGTGGTTCTCAACCTTCCTAATGCCGCAACCCTGTAATACAGTTCCTCATGTTGTGGTGACCCCCAATTTCATTGTTACAAATTGAACATAATTAAAGCATAGTGATTAATCACAAAAACAATATGTAATTATATATGTGTTTTCCGATGGTCTTAGGCGACCCCTGTGAAAGGGTCATTCGAGCCCCAAAGGGGTCGCGACCCACAGGTTGAGAACCGCTGGTTTAGAGGTTATCTCTCAAGAGCCAGGGATAAAGGTCAGACCTTTCTTTGGGCAAGGCCAGATTCTTTACCATACATCCTTTCCTACAGCACTTATATGCTTCAGTGGCGCCTGTTTTCTTGCTTGCCCTCATTGGTTATAAACTTCTCAAGGGCAAACTGACAGGCTGTGTAATGGAGTCGCCAAAAGCCAGGATCTTGGAGTCAGGATGCCTGGTATTGTGACCTTACTTGGTGCCTCATCTCTAAGATGGTGTGCGTGATAATGCCTGCCAGAGGATTGTTTGGAGGATTACTAGTAAAAGTGATAATCCATGCGGAGTAGCACAGTGCTTGACACATAATATGCATTCATTAATGCAAACTGTTATAATCACTGCTTATTATTAAATTTCCCGGGTCTTTTATAGAGTGAGGCTTATAGGAAACATTCAGCAAATAGTTGTTGAAAGAGTAAGTAAACGAATCCTTTGTTTAGAATGGTTGGTGCCCTTGTGAGTAGCACTGTGCATATGCTCAAACATCTGAGTTCCTAGACTCTGACAATGCGAATAGACTTTTTAGATGTCTACCCTTGTTTCTCATTATTTGGAACTAAGTACTAAAGCATATTTGCGTTTGGATTTTTCCATTATGAAGACTTCATGTTTCTCTCTCTCCTATTTCCATGCAGTGGCCAGTTTGGCAAAGCCTGGTACATTTGCTGGCAATGATGCAATTGTAGCCTTTGCAAGAAATCATCAATTGAATGTGGTGATTCATCAACTTAATGCCCCTTTGTGGCAGGTAGGTCACCTATTCAAGAGTTTATCTGGCCCTGGCCAGTTTTGCTAAAGTGGTTAGTGGGTCAGCCCACACACTGAAAGGTCGTGGGTTCAATTCCCAGTGAAGGGCTTATACCTGAGTTGCAGGTTCAATCCCTGGCCCCGGTTGGGGCGCATGTGGGAGGCAACCAATCTATGTGTCTCTCTCACATCAATGTTTTTTTTCTCTCTCTCTTCTTCCTCCCTCTCTCCCTCCCTCCCTCTCTTCTTCTGTCTCTAAAACTCAATGGAAAAAATATCCTTGGGTGAGGATTAACAAAAACAAAACAAGAGTTTATCTGAAGCTCTTCATTATAACTTAGCTTTTGGGATGTCCTAAGATGACAAGGCATGGCCTGTGCTATTGAACAGGGTAACTTGGATTGTGAGCCTAACCAAAGACCAGAAGCGTTTGGTGGCTTGGGATTACCCTGTGCCAAGTTCACATGGAGTCTGGAGTATAATTCAGAAACCTTTAAATGCCAGAAACATTATTCAACAGTCAGTTAACTGGGTAGTTTGGGGCAGAGAGCCTAATGTGGAAATACTGTCTAAAATTCTGTAAAATATCTAAGCGAGTTTTAAAAGACTAGTACATACAAATTTAGTTTTGAAGTATGCTTAGTCCCTCAGGTATGTTTGTGTTTTTTAGGTGAAGGGACCCAGAGACCAAATTTACTATACTAACCATTGCTAAAAAGGATGTTCTGAACAACAAAATTTATTTCATGGCCTATGATAGTGGTTGGCAAACTGCGGCTCGCGAGCCACATGCGGCTCTTTGGCCCCTTGAGTGTGGCCACGAAGTTTCAGTTGCACTGTACATGCGCGCCCGCACGTGGTATTTTATGGAAGAGCCACACTGAAGGGGCCGCAGTTTGCCGACCACTGGCCTAGGATGTCAAGCTCCATTTCTCTCTGGTCTGCTCAGCTGTATCTTTGGTCCCAGTGGTTTTCTACAGCAGATGAGATCGTACAGTAAATGTTCAGTTTGTGCTCTAGGGTGGCAGAACACATTGTGGAGCCACTGAGTGAACTCGCTGTCCATTCAACTTTCTTTACCTTTGGTATCCTAAATTAGCCTGGCCTCCCAATCCATCAGACCAAACATTTTGTTTGGAAGGTCAGAGGTTGAGGAGAAAGTATATACAGGCCACCCCCTTGCTGTTCCTCCTTTTGTTCAGAGTGCTTTCCGTACTTTGTAGCTCTCCTCCTGCAGACTGGGTGTGTGATTTCTATCAGTCCTCCCCCTCCATTGCTCCTCTGGGTCTAACTTCTTTTTTTAATTAGGTAAAACATACTAAATGTAGACAAATTTGAAAATTCAGAAAAACTAACAAAGGCAAATAAAAATCAGCCAGAGCAACATTCCCTAGAGATGATTACTGTTAACATTTTAGTGTGTATCCCTGTCATTCACATATACTCTTAGCTAGGGGTCCTCAAACTTTTTAAACAGGGGGCCAGTTCACTGTCCCTCAGACCGTTGGAGGGCCAGACTATAGTTTAAAAAAAAACTATGAACAAATTCCTATGCACACTGCACATATCTTATTTTGAAGTAAAAAAACAGAATGGGAACAAATACAATATTTGTATTTGCATGTGGCCCGTGGGCCGTAGTTTGAGGACCCCTGCTCTTAGCTATAAAAATATTCATATGGAAAGATATGTATCACAGTGTTTTATACACCTTTTAAACATATCTACACACATACAGACATGTCTATGTACACATACACTTATGTATCTCTATATATTATTATAATGGCAACTGTGGCCTTTTTTCTCACTTTTTCCTAGACCATCAGCATATATTTTCCTTTGTAAGTTGTTTATTCATAGTCTTTGCTGATTAAAACTAAAGTGGAGTTTATAGAGATATAATTTACATAGAGCAAAATTAACCCTTCTTAGGCATACTTTTTATTTTTATTTTTTTTACAAAATAGTCATGTAACCATTACCACTGACAACACATAGAATAGTTCCATTACCCCCAAAAGTTTCCTCATGCCCTTTTGAGTCACTAGTCCCCTCCCCATGTCCCCAACCCCAGTAACCACTAATCTGATTGGTCTGTTACAGTTTTGCTTTTCCAGAATGTTATCTAAATGGCTGTATATAGCCTTTGTGTCTGGCATAATGTCCTTTTAATAAAATTAAAGTAAAATAAATGAGATATTCCATGGGTTGGTGAGGGATTTTACTGGGAGGGAAATGATGTGTGTGTGTGTGTGTGTCCTTTGGGGCAGTATTGTCGGATGTACTGACACCAGGGAGAGATATGTTTTTAGTGAGGTGTTCTCTGAGGGTGGTCTGTGAGCCAAGAGTTACCTTCTTCATTGTCCCAGTGTTTTGTCATTAAATTATTACTGTTCAGCAGAAGTCATCAAAATAATTTGAATATATAGCATAGTGACCCACTCTTGCAGGAAAGTACTCCGTGCCAACTCAGTAACCATAGCCTGCTTTTTCTCCATTGATAACTTTATATTAGTTTCTTAATTATTTAAGTCGTGGAAGATAATTCTGCAGAGTTAGAATGTTTAAAAATACATTTCTATAGAGTTATCTTTCATGGATTGCTAAACATTGAAAGTATATGTTTTTAAAATAAATGTATTTGTTGTATAATGGAACTATCCACTGGCTCTCTCCCCTGCCCCCCATATCCCATCACCCCAATGAAATTTAAGAATTGAAATTGTTTTGATTGCTACTGTCATGGGTCAGAACTCTTGCACTGAAATGGGTAGGCTCATACAACAATGGAGATAGGAACCCTACATTTCTTTCCTGGTTACAAGTGGAATCTATGCTTCTGTGAACAGTATAGATAGGTGTGATGTAGAAAGTGAAAGTCCTCTGTAATCTCCCTACTCATGGAAATTGCAGTCAACTATTTGATGACCATTCTTCCTATTTTTTTTCCTATGCATAATGCGTATATAGTAGTATTACTTAAATATGTAAGTACTTTAGGGATTATGTCATTCAGATATTCTAATATCGAGTTTCCTTTCCCAGTACTCTCCCTGGGAGATAAATGATGCTGTCTCTATTTTGTACATGTGAAAAGCAGACCGTCTGTACTTTGAGGCCTAAATGGTTTACCTGGAGAAAACTTCATGGTTCTAGCTTCTGGTCACTTGTGGTTCCTGTTTGTTCCATGGTTCTTGCTGTGCTGTTAGACCACAGCTAGTGTTAAAATGAGCAGTAGTGCCTGACTTTCAGGAAAAAACAAGAAGGAAGTGCTAACATTTTAGAGTTGTAACTAAGAGGTGGTTACTGCTTTCTAAACAACAGATTCAGAATCACTTTAGAGTTTCTGTCAGGGGGAGTGTTTGGTGGGTACACCCAGGCTGAACCTTATGACGTGACTCTGAGGAGTACTGTTCTTGCTGGGGAGTGGCCCAGGGGTGCTGTTCACATAGAATATCTTGTGAGTAGTGCCTCCAGGGCTGTACAAGGAAGTAGTACCACTTGACTTTAAATAATACTGTTCTGAACTTGATGTCAGTGGGAGATTGGAGTTGTTTGTGTTTCTCAGCATGTGGGTAATGGAAGATGCTATTTTTGTTGGAACGACAGGGGCACGTTTATTGTGAAGTAATGAAGCATAAGTGGAAGGCCCCTCATTGTTATGGCCTCCTTTCTAGGTCCTGGGAAGGGCTGTGGCATTTCTCTATTTGTAATCTTGTATTTTTTTTTCTCAAAGAGAGCCTCCAAATTGTTTGCACTTTAAGCCCAGCAAATTTGCTGTGCCCGTAGGCCTTCCCTCTTGCAAGGGGCCGTGCATCTAGAGAGGCACTGATGCGTGAAACTTTAGCCAGTTTAACTTCACTGTGAGTCTTCCCTGGTTGTTGAATGTGTGTTTCCATGTGGATTTATTTCCATATAGTTCCATACTAAGCACATTGAAGCATGCATGCATGGGCAGGAGAAAGATAAGTCAGAAGTTGCTCTGGGCATACCCAGTCTTATTCCCAAGTCATTTCACATCGAGCCTGTAGACTGGGCTTCCTAGGTAGCATTTCTCTCCATGAATTGACACCGACCAAATCCTCACTGGCATCTCCTTTCTTTTGCTTCCAGATTCGCGGTACAGATAAAAGCAGCGTGCGGGAGTTACACATCGCATATCGATACGGTGAACACTATGACAGCGTTCGGAGGATCAATGACAACTCGGAAGCTCCTGCTCATCTCCAGACCGATGTGAGTGAGGCCTCCGTGTTCTGTATCCTCAGCTCAGAAGGAACCAGGTCGAGGGCTGGGTGCCTGGAGCTAAAAACCAGTGATGTTTTTATGGAAAATTGCCTTTAAGAATCTGTGTGGGGTTGATTTGTTTTTACTTTTTTAGCTCAGGTGAGAGTGACAGATAAAATTGCTTGCCATTCTTTTGCTTTCCCTAGTAACTGATAGTTCTGATTCCATGGATAGAATTTATATAAAAATTTTAAATTACTTTTAGTTTTAAAATTAATCCATGCTTCTGGACCTGGAGATGATTATGCTAAGCGAAATAAGCCAGTTGGAGAAAGACAAGTATCACATGATCTCACTTATATGTGGAATCTAATGAACAAAATAAACTGACAAACAAAATAGGTCCACAGGCATGGATGCATGGAACAGAACGACAGATCTCAGGGGTCGGGGGGTTAACACTGCTCTGCTATGAATATCTATGTATAAAGTTGTTTGAGTGCCTGTTTTTAATCTTTTGGGTTTATACTAGGAGTGGACTCACTGGTCATAAGATAGATAATTCTATGTTAACTCTGTGAGGAACTGCCACCCGTTTTCCACAGTGGCTGCACTAGTTTACATTCCCACTAGCACTGTTCTGAGGGTTCCACTTTTTGCACATCTCCACTAATACTTACTTTTGCTTTCTTTTTAAAATTACGGCCATCCTGCAGGTGTGAAGCGGTACCTGTGGTTTGGATTTGCATTTCCTTAATGGCTAATGATGTTGAGCATCTTTCCATGTGCTTCTTGACCACTTGTATCTTTGGAGAAATGCCTAGTCAAGTCCTTTGCCCATATTCTAATTGGGTTATTTGTACTTTCGTTGTTGTTGAGTTGTAAGAGTTCTTTATATATTCTGGATATTAGATTCTTATAAAATATACTAGAGGCCCGGTGCACAAAAATTTGTGCACTCGGGGGGGAAGGGGGGCTCCCTCAGCCCGGCCTGTGCCCTCTCGCAGTCTGGGACCCCTCAGGAGATAATGCCCTGCTGGCTTAGGCCTGCTCCCGGGTGGCAGAGGGCAGGCCCAATCCCTAGGTGCAGCCCCTGGTCGGGCTCAGAGTAGGGCCGATTGGGGAGTTGGGGCGCCGCCCCCTGTCATGCACAGAGCAGGGCGGATCGGGAGGTTGCAATGCCACCCCTAGTCAGGCTCAGGGTACAGCCGATTGGGGGGTTGGGGCACCGCCCCCTGTCACACTCAAGGCAGGGTCGATAGGGAAGTTGCGGAGCCACCCCCTGTCACGCACAGAGCAGGGCCGATCAGGGGGTTGGGGCGCTGCCCCCTGTCATGCACAGAGCAGGGCCCATCATGGGGGTTGGGGCTCCGTACCCTGTCACACACAGAGCAGGGTCGATCAGGGGTTTGGGGAGCTCCCCCCTGTCACTCACAGAGTAGGGCCAATAGGGGAGTT